AACAATATGACAAACAAATCAATTTTTTAAATGGGTAAAAGAATTGGACAGATGTTTCTCCAAAGAAGATATACAAGTGACTATCAAGTGCATGAATAGATATTCAAAATCATTGTTGCTGATATATTTTTTAAAAGTTGGTGGCCTGTGAATACATTATGGTCTTTTAAATTTATACTTAATTCAATATTAAAACAATGTAACAACAGGACTAGTCTAACTATAACTAATGATAAACTATCTTTTCAGTGATACAAGAGACTTTTTCCTCTGAACAAACTATTTATCAAGGCATGCCATATAAACAACTGATTTCTAATCACATGACTTTTTGGCCTATTAAGAAATGTGTCATTCATAGTGTAAAAAGGGCCATTCAGTTGTGCCACTTTTAAATATAACTTAACAACTTGTAATAAAGCTTCTTATGTGTTCTCTTATTATCACCTTCATCTGATTTGGTAAACAAATGTGATTGTTCACTTGTGACCCAGTTTCATACAGATGATTAACTACATTGCATAGAACAAACAAGATCCTTTGGGTGAAAGACCTAAGACAAACATATTTTGTTATTAATTTATCTAACAGAACTAGCAGCAAACTGCACCTTTTAGCTTTTAAATAATTTGTTTTCAGAACAATTTTTTATTATTATTTTTTTTCAAATACATTTGTCTCTGCCTTCCCTAAAAGCTATGCTCATGGACAAAAATACCAACATCTAAATCTACTCAACTTTTTTCTTATTAAATTTTAAAGCAGGTATTTTAGAAGCACATTTTCATGTTTTCAAAAACCCTAAATATCAATAAAATAAAAATGAACAAGTCAGTCCAACTCCATTGGGAACTTGTCGTATGAAGTAGATCAAGGAGGATTCCTGCTAAGCTCCTAAGAAAAGAAAAATCATCCACCTGCTAAGGGATCTGCGTTTCAACAGGCTGTTTATATATTTATTCATGTTGAAAAGGAGCCAAATGCTGTGGGTTTTACCTTTTAGCTTTTCTAAACAGGATTTTTTCCTTCATAAAAACATACTTTAAAAGTAAGTTAAGTGCTGTGCATTTTTTACCTTTTCATACTTAAGGAAAATATTTAATGCATATAAAATAGGAAGCAAATTCAAAATTCTAAAGACTACTTTAAGTTGGAGTAGATAATATATTCTTTTTAGTATTTTACTTTCAATGTTGTATAAAAATAGAATGACTTAAGAAATCAGAAACTAGGTCAGTTGAGGTTTTTTGTAAGCATAGTCTCCCAAAGCATATGTGATAACAGAAACACATCAAAATAAGTTGACAAAAATTCTCCCCTCCACTGCTATCTTTCAGAGTATCAGAAAATCAGTGGTGGACCAGTGGTAGCAAAATGCTTTTCCAGGGCACTCAGTGATGCAGAGACTTGAAGGGGATCAATAAAATAGAAAGATGAGAGAGCCAAATACATTCTAGCTCTAGAGTAAGACTTCTTAATCTTCCTTAAAAGTCTTTTGTGGTCACCTAATAGAAGAGCAAAACCTGGACACTTTCTCTAGGATGCCACAGGAGAAAAATGCCTGCCTGTGCAAGCTAATACTGATGTGAACCACTTGACTGGAAGCACAGTAGAGCTTAAAGAGAGAACATTGGTGTAGAAATCTCAGTTGAAATCCTACCTTTCTCAAACACTTGTCTGTGTGTTTTTTGGCAGCTTACCTATTTTAAGACTCAGATTGTTCACCAATGAATTAGGGATAATAATGTGTACATTATAATATTGTTTTGAGAAACACGTAAGGCACATGTGAAATCTGTAATGTTATTCAATGGATGGTAGAGGCTTCTAAAATATTTTAAAACATTTTCCAAGTTATGTTAATTTTAATGTTTTCTGAGTAATCATTTTATAGACTTTGTAAGAAGTTCATATATTAGCACTGTATACAAATGATATAAATTATCTCACCTCGAACTGTATAAAATTATCTACAACTTTAGAAAAAAACTGATGTTGACATTTTTTTAAGGGAATGATGATAGGGTACCTTTACTGCTTAGGTTGAATTAATGAATTTCTTACAAACTGTATAGCAAGCAAAGATGATATAACGAACATTCCTATAGGTCTGGCCGCATCACAAGTACTTGGCTGGTAGTGTGTGGACACATAATGATAAATGTACTTCAAAATTCTTATTCTTACATAGGAGCACTAAAATTACTGGAAATTTTCACTATACTTTTTCATATGCTCATAGTGTTTTCCTTTCCTATATAGCATTTCCCTATTAATACATCCAGATGATATGAAAGAATGCCTTCTATTGACAGTTACAGAACACATGTGCTTCTACTTAAAATGTTTTCCCTATAAATATTAAAAATATGTGAATAATGTAACAAAAATACATTAAAATGCTTATTGGTCAGGGCCTTGATATTTTAATTCTATAATAGAAAACCAGAGGAAAAATATCATGACTGTTAGCAAAAATCCCCACTTATCTGACTTTTAAGATCTATGTTTATATATTCTGCCTCTACCTGTCTTATTATGATTAAACAATTTATGTTCATAGCTAAGGACACCTTCCATTTGTGCAATAGATCTGAACGCCATCTCTCACTTAGGAATATTTCTTCAGCAATTTCTCCTCTCATTCTCTTCTGAATCATTATTTATTTCCTAATGTCTCTACTGGATCATCCTTATCAGCATAGAAACATCCTCTTATTTATCCCAAGAGGGAAAATAAAATGTCTTCTGACACCAAATCATTGTCCAGCTGCTACACTCTCAGTTCCCTGCTCCCCTTTTGAAAACACATCTGTGAAATATTATGAGTTCAAAATGTGCATTTCCTTTGCACGTATTTTCTTCATCCAACTCCAGTCAGCCTTTTGCTCCTACTATACCTCCGTACCTTTCTCGTCAAGGTCAACTGTGACCTACACAATAGTCAATCCAATGGTCACATTTTAGCCACAACCATATTTTACACCTCACCAGTATTTTACACAGCCAATTATTCCCTCCTTCTGGAGGCATTTGCTACACTTGGCATTAAAGGCAACTTCTACTCTAATATCACTGGCCACACTCTGTTTTACTCTTTCTCGATGGCTTCGTCTCATCTTCATTCTCTTCACTCACTTTGAGATAATCTCATCAGGTGGTTTTAAGCACAATCTATGTTGTTGATTTCCAGCTTTATGTCTCTCTTTTTTTCTCTGAATTTCAGGCACATAAGTCAAATTTTCTATACAACATTGTCACTTAGATGATGGTATCTTAATATATCTCATATGTAGCTCCTCAATTATTAAATTATAATCACATTTTTTCATTCCTCTGGTAGAAAAATATTGTTGATATATCAGCATTTAAAAAAATTTTATAACAACACAAATTTATTTTTATTTTTTAAAGTATATTTTATTGATTATGCTATTACAGTTGTTCCAATTTTGTTTACCCTTTCCCCCTTCTGCCCAGTATCCCCCTTCTCTCCAGAAATCCCCCTCTTTTATTCTCTCATGCTCTACCTCCTGCATATCAGCAAATTCTGTGCCTCTACTTTCAAAATTTAACCAGAATCTAACCAATTTTCACCATCTCCAAAGTTTGATCTACTAACTAAAATGTCTTGTCAAGTTATTTACTATCCTCCCAGTTATTCTCTATTCTTCCATCAGATCCTGCTTCCATGTGTTCTCAAAACAACAGTGATAGTGAGAATATCTCCTTCAATAAACCTATATCAGATTATAGGCTATTTCCTCGATACTACAGCATCTTCTCATTTCATGTATGATCATGAAATGCAGGAAATGAATTTTCTAAAAAATTGTGTTTTATATACATAGTTATGTTGGGGAATAATTATGGTAAGTGCTCAATAAAAAATGTGAGTATAAAAATATTATGTTAAAGTAAAATTCAGCTGAGTACAACAAAAACATAAAGAGGAAAATGCATTAAAGTTTTGATATGAAATTACTTAAACAGATGATGTTGTATAGTATATTACAAAGACATTTAATTCCAATTGGATCAAACTAAATGATATATTTAGTTTTATACTTAATTTACATTTAATTGGTTATTAACATAAATGTTGACAAGGATGAAGAGAAAAGGGAACACTTGTACAATATTGGTGGGGTATAAAAATTGGTACACATGGAGGTATTCAAAATTAAAAAACAAAAACAAAACTATCATATGATTCAGCAATTTCACATCTGAGTACATAGCTAATGGAACTGAAATCTAGATTTGTATAAGGTATCTGTCCTTCCATGCTCCTTGCAGTGCCGTTCACTATTGCCAAAACATGGAATCAATCTAAATGTCCATCAGTGGATAAATGGATAGTGAAAATTAATATACGTATAATGGAGTGTTATTAAACCTTAAAAAAGAAGAAAATCCTGCCATATAAGACAACTTGGATGAATCTGGAAGACATTATGCTAAGTGAGATAAGCCGGACACAGAAGAACAAATGCTACGTGATACAACTTATATCAGGTATTTAAAAAGTCAAACTCAGAGAAGCAGAGAGTAAAATGGTGGTTTCCAGGGGTTGGAGGAAGTGGGAAATGGAAAGGCGTTAGTAAAGGGTAAAAATTTAATTTATACAGGATCATTAGGTCCCAGATTTCTACTGTACAGCATGGTACTCATAGATGATAATGATGTATTATATAATGAAAATTTTGTTAAAAGAATAGATCTTATATTGTGTTCTTATCAACAGAAAAAAATAAAGAGGGTAGGAAGATACTTTTAGCGGTGATAAACATGTTTATTACATAATTTTTTATAATGGTTTCACAAGTGTATACTTATGTCCAGATTCATCAAGTTGTATACATTAAATATTAACGTGCTTTGTATGTCAATCATACAATCAATCAACAAATTGTTAAAAGAAAATAAAAGCACATCATTTCTATGGAATTATTGACAAAAGTGCATAATCTCAATATATCATTAGAAACATCAGAAATATATTTTCTCGACCTTTTGGCTAAGATTAAGTATAGTATCAGTTTAATATTGGATATATCCTCTATCCAAGGACATTACATTAAATGGATTTTTTGGAGCGGGGAGTTGGAATAGGCACTTGTTCGGTCCACTCCGCACATTGGCCTGGTATTGCAGTAATTCTGGGAATGATGTGCGCACGCGCGTGCACATACATCAGAAAGAATCAAAGTGAGGGAAATTCTACTAAATAAATGAAAATTATGACTTTGAATATACCAAGATCATAAAAGGTAAAGGGGCTGAGAAATTGTCACATGTTAGAGTAGATTAAGGAGACATGATAAGTGAATGCATGCGAAATCTTCAGTTGGATCCTGAGGTGGAAAAATTACATTAGTTGGAAAAACTAATTAAATTTTAATAAACTTTATAGCTGTATAGCAGTATTGATCATTATTAATTTATTAGTTTTGATAATTAAACTATGGTTATGCAAGATGTTAAATTTTGGAGAAGCCAGATGATCTCTATGCTACATTTTCAACTTTTCTGTGTGTCTAAAATTTTTATGTCAAGATCTATGAATTTGCATTTAAAATTTTCAAAAATAAAGGGCTCAAAAATTAGTAGGAAAACTACACATAATTTCACATTTATTTAAAACGACCTCCAAAGAAAATCAAATAAAGGTCAGGTTCTGGAGTAGGTTCTATAAGTAATTTAACACCATTGGGACCTGGCTGCCTTCACCCAGTTTTCAAGAAACCACATTCCTCAATCCACAACTTGAGGATCTATATCTAAATTCTCCTTTATTTATCTTATGTTTAATAATTAATTAATTGATTTGTTCATGTGTTGCAGCCTCTCTAGACTGGACAGGTCCACTCGGAGCTCAGGTAGATGGAAGAAGATTCGTGAAGCCTTGGGAATGCTTGACATGCCTTTATTTGGGAGAGTCATACAGGCCACAAGCCCTGTGTCCAGGGAAATTGCACAGGCTAGAAGCCTGTGTGGAGGGAGTCACATAGGCCACAAGCCCATGTCCAAGTCAGCACTCCAACTCCCCACCTCGTCCAAAGCTCCTACCCTTTAAATACTAGCCCTAAACAAAGCAGGCTACAGGCCAGAAAGTGAAGTGACTATCATGAGCTGTGCATGTGAGCCTACTCAAGGCTGCAGGGCAGTTTATCGCACCAGGGCTCAAGGCTGTGAGACCTGGGCTCAAGGCTGTGAGAACACTTCTTTATTAGATTCCTTCAAGGTTGTGAGGAGCTGCTCCCTCCAGTTATCCACGCATCTGGCTGAGGAAGCCAGACTGCCTCCACCTACCCTAGAGTTCAATACTGACTTAAAAATTATAATTGTTGGCATAGAAAGATAAAGGGAGTGTGTCCTTACCAAGTAAGGCAGTATATTTCCATATATAGTTGCCTTGAAGAGAGAGTCCCTAATAAAAACTCATTCTATGGCTCTACTCTAAAAGCTATGAAAGATGGGTGCTGGGAAAATAAGCTCCTCAGGTAACTGAGATAAATGTTTATATCTGAGGACTGCAGTGTAAAGATTGTATAGATCTATATAGATCTACCTGATTATATAGAAAATTAATACAAAAAGTATAAAACTTTGTTGTATTAATTTTATATGTCAAAATACACTATTTTTCTAAAAAGTAGCAGAAGTTAGAGAAACATTTGCAAAAAAAGAAGATACTAAAGGAATCTTCAACAATTACTTTGAATTTATTAAGTAAATCTGATAACTAGAACCACATGTAAGAATAGAGAGCACTCTATGCAATGATACTCTAAAGAAAAAAAAACACATCTCATCCTTCAACAGCAGATTCAGAGGCAAAATATAGATCTATATTTTGTTACTTTTAATTAAATTAAATAGCCATCAAATGAATGACTGTCAAATTACTTTTTCTAAGTCAGAATTTGAGAAAATGTCTCCAAGAGATATGTAAGTGAACAAAATAAGTAAGAACCACATGCATTTAATTTTTAAAAATATACTTTTAAAAGTGGTATTAGATTTAAGAAAAGTTGAAAAAATAAAAGTTTCTTCTACCATTACTCCATATTTCTCTACAACCTAATCATAAATTTGTCAAGTATTTGGTGCTTTGTAACATATATTACTGAATTTGACTTTCTGATATTTTATTAAGGGATTGTATTTATATTCATGAGAATTACTGGACTCTGGTTATTTGTGTCATATCTATTCCAATTTTGTTATCTGAGTAGTTCTTAATTTATAAAGTTATTTAGGAGTGACTTTTTTTCTGGAAAAGTTTGTGGGGTGTTGATATTTTTTCTTGCATAAATATTTTAAAGAATATAACAGTGAAGACATCTGACCCTGCAGCTTTTATTGTGAGAATGTTTTCTTTTTTCTTTTTTTTTATTGTTTTTCAAGTACATTTGTCTCCATCTTCCTGCCACCACTTTCCCCTGCCCCACCCACTCCCACCTCCAACCTTCAATCCTTCCCTCTTTTGGCTTTGTCCATGGGTCCTTTATACATGTCCCTTGACAACCCTTCCTCTTCTTTCCCCCCTTATCCCCCTTACTCCACACCTTTGGTCACTGTCAGTTTGTTCTTTATTTCGATGTCTCTGGTTCTATTTTGCTTGCTCGTTTGTTTTGTCAATTAGGTTCCACTTATAGGTGAGGTCATATGGTATTTGTCTTTCACCCCTGGCTTATTTCACTTAGTATAATGCTTTCCAGATCAATCCATGCTGTCATGAAGGGTAGGCACTCCTTTTTTCTTTCTGCTGTGTAGCATTCCATGGTTAAATATGCCACAGTTTTTTGATCCACTAATTTACTGATGGGCACTTGGTTTGCTTCCAGTACTTGTCTATTGTAAATAGTGCTACAATGAACATTGGGGTGCATAGGTTCTTTTGAATTGATATTTTAGTATTCTTAGGGTATAATCCCAGCAGTGGAATTGCTGGGTCAAAAGGCAGTTCCATTTTTAGTTTCTTGAGGAAATTCCATATTGTTTTCCACAGAGTCTGCAACAGTCTAGATTCCCACCAACAGTGCACAAGGGTTCCCTTTTCTCCATAACCTCACCAGCACTTGTTGTTTGTTGATTTGTTTATGATGGTCATTCTGACTGATGTGAAGTGGGATCTCACTGTGGGGTTTTTTTTAAGATTTTATTTATTTATTTTTAGAAAGAGGGGAAAGGGAGAAAGAGAGGGAGAGAAAGAAACATCAATGTGTGGTTGCCTCTTGAACACCCCCTACTGGGGACCTGGCCTGCAACCCAGGCATGTGCCCTGACTGGGAATCGAACCGGAGACTCTTTGGTTCTCAAGCCAGCACTCAATCCACTGAGCCACAGCAGCCAGGGCTCATTGTGGTTTTAATTGGCATCTCTCTGATGGCTCACAATGCTGAGCATCCTTTCATATGTCTATGAGCCCTCTGTATGTCCTCCTTGGAGAAGTGTTCAATATAAATTTAATTGCCTTTTTAGGTATAAAGTTATTCATGTTATATATTTGTTCTGGAAGGTGCTTTGATACTTTGTGTCTTACAAGGACTCTATTTAATATAAACTGTCATGTTTATTGATAAATAGTTGCCCATATATTTCATTATCTTTTAAATATTTGTAATATATGTAGTAATACTACCTCTTTAATCCTTGAAATTGGTAATTGTGCTTCCTTTGTGTGTGTGTGTGTGTGTGTGTGTGCGCGCGCGCGCTTTTGTCTAGGATTTATCAATTTTGTTTAAGATGTTTATTTATTTATTTTTTATTATTGTTTATGCTGTTACGGTTGACCCATTTTTCTCCTTCATCCCTCTCTACCAAGCCTGCCCCTGCTTCCACAGTCTTACAACATACTTTTGCTTTTACTGATATCATCTCCCTTTTTTTTTGTATTTGGTTTATTTGTCTCTGTTCTTATCTTTATTAATTATTTCTTTCTGCTTACTTTGGGTTTAATTTGCTTTCATTTTTCTGCTTTCTTAAAATGAAAGTTTAAGCTAATTGATATGAGTGTTTTATTTTTTCTAATATACCCATTCAATGTCAGAACTTTTTATGTGAAACATTTAGCTTTATTCAACAAATTTTTGTTTTCACTCAGCTCATATTTTCTGATTTTTCTTAAAATGTCCAATTTGATTCATGATATATTTAGATATGTTTTGGAAGTTTTTATTTTCTTCTTGCATCTATTTTTGTAGAGAAATTTTTTCTCATTATTCTAAGCATAATTTTATTGATGGTTGCATATATGTAGTAATTATTAAAAATATACAGATTCATACAAAGAGAAAGAGAACTGGTGGTTGCCAGAGGGGAGGTTGGTTGGGTAACTGGGTGAAAAAGATGAAGGGGCTAAGAAACACAAATTGGTAGTTACAAAAGAGTAACAAGAAAGTAAATGAGTCATGGAAAATATAGTTAATGATAATGTGATAGGGTAGGGTACAAGTTGGGCTACTGGAAATATTGAGGGGAATAGCACGTAAAGGATATGATTGTCTAAACATTAAGCTATATATCTGAAAGCAATGCATAATAATTTTTTAAAGAAAAAATATTCTACAGTTAAAAATATGGAAGCTGCAATATATTCCATCTATTGGGTTTATTCTTATTTACTTATTTTGTTTTCATAATGTTTTTTAATCTGTGAAAGCATAACTTCTTCCAGTTGTAGGATCTTAGTTATGTCTTCAAAGATTATTTTTCAATATAATTTACTCTATTCTGTGATGTCTACTACATGTGAATTGAAGTAATATAATCTCTTTAACCTATCCAGTAACTGTTCATAAAGAAAATAATATGTTTTCTATTTATATATCAGTGTTGTATTCTGAGTAAATTCTTCTGTGATATTTTCTAAATCACTACTTTTGACTTTAACAGTTTAGAGATAGAATTCTTTTATTTATTACATTTTTTTCAATGATGATTATGTTCATTCAAAATTTTCTAATTGTTTGTTTCTCATACTCAGCATTTGTTTCACTTCTGCCTGTTTTTTCTTATTTGTGAAATTTTTATAGAACACATTTTCTTAAAAATTGTTCATAATAAACATGACCAAATTCTTTTCAGATAATTCTGTAACACTAACTTAAAATGTTCCAAGTTTTCATTTTCATTGCTGTCTTTCTTGGCACTAGAATTTTTTTGTATGTTTTG